CTTGCTTGGAGAATTTCTTGGACAGAGGATCCTGGCAGGCAAAACAGTCCATGGGGTCGCAGAGTCGGACATAACGGAGCGACTAACACTTTCACTTGGGGTTCTTTAGGAACTGCATTGGTTGCCCCAAGGGCTGTGGGACCGCCTGCCACACCCACCCTGGGTGGGTTAAGTAAACTGCCCCCAGCCTAAAGGGGGGAGCCCCACCTCCCCCACCCCCAGCCCAGCTCCCGGCTTCTGCCCTTCTGGTGTTTACTCTGTCAGAGATTCCTTGGGAGTCCAGTAGAATTTTACCACGAACAGTCCCTGTTTCCTATGCATCACCACCCGCCCGCAGATATGCATGGCCTCATTCCCTCCAGCTCTTGCTCACAATGGCAGTTTTGGGATGAGGCCTACCCTGACCGCCTAGTTTGAAATGCCACCCTTCATGCCCCTCTTTTCCTCCACAGAACCCACCACCTTGTCACACACCATCTAATTTCCTAACCTGTTTTATTTTAATGAATGAATTCTGTTTATTTACGTTCCGGCTGCACCGGGTCTTCATTGCTGCACACAGGCTTTCTCTCGTGGTGGCGGGCAGGAGCGAGTCTCTAGTTCTGGTGCACGGGCTTGTCGCTGCGGAGGCTTCTCTTGTTGCTGAGCACGGGCTCTAGAGCACAGACTCAGTAGTCGTGGTTCACGGGTTTAGTTGCTCTGCGGTATGTGGGATCCTCCCGGGCCAGGGATCGAACCCGTGTCCCGTGCATTGGCAGGCGGATTCTTAACCACTGGACCACTGGGGAAATTCCTAATGTCCTAGTTTGTTATGTTTATTGTCTGACTCTCACCCACTGGAATGGCAGCCTGAGAGCCGATGCCTGTTTGGGTCACAGTGTCCGGCATGCACTTGACTTCCAGACCTTCCCCAGCCTGGTTTCTGAGTCCTGCCACCTAAGGGATACCATGGTGTCAGGGCCAGGCCCGAATTGCCGGCTTCGAACTACACATCCCCACTGAGCACTGACCACTTCCCAGTAACCAAACCGGGGTCTGCCTAGGAAGTTTTTCCCACCACACAAGAAAATAGAAAGCAACATCTTAACATTTGAAACAGCAACATGAAATGACTTTTTCCTCCCATGGAGACAGCTCAAGCTTGGAGCTTCCTTTTTAGAGGGAAAGACTGCTACTTGAAGGAGTCTCCTTTTTAGAGGGAAAGACTGCTACTTGCAGAAGTACTGGAGCTACTTCTCAGGGTAAAAGGCTTGGTCTCTGAGGGGTACACCCCATGCTTCAGGGATGCACAGGCATGGAGGAGAACAGGTGCTCCCCTCCCCTGTTGGGCGTACAGGTGTACCTTCACTGGTGCTCAGCGTGGCAGCAGCTCCGGCAAATGGCCTTGGCAGCCGCCCTTTTTATTCATCACATGGAAAGCGCTTGCCTCAGATTTCAGGTGACAGTGAAATGGCATCAGTTTAGGGGCCACAGACGATTGGACTGGGTTTCAGGGAGGATGTGGAATTGGAGCTGGGTCTCCTCTGGGACCAGACGATGAAAGTGCTTGTGGCGTCGGGGAGGAGTGAACAGGAGGGCAGAAGGCGGCAGGAAACTTCCAGAGGACGTGCTGAGGCAGCTGGAGCTGAGCGAGAACCGGGGTGAGAGGTGCAAAAAGATTAAAACAGGGCCCGTGGAAGGGAGCTGGGAATGTCATGTTGTGAGGAAAGAAGACATGACACCCTCAGCATGGACCAGGAGGAGAGGTCAGTCGGTGGTGGTGGCCAAAGCTACTTTAAAATTCAAAGGGTCTGACTTCCCTGTTGGTCCAGTGGCTGAGACTCTGAGCTCCTGATGCAGGGGGCCCTAGTTCGATCCCTAGTCAGGGAACTAGCTCCAACATGCTACAGTGAAGAGTTCACACAGCACAACTGAAGATTCTACATGCCACAGCTAAGACATGGTGCAGAAAAAGAAATAATTTTTTAAAAATCCAAAGGGATCTTTCATACACAGAAAAGCATGCACAGCTAATAGCCCCTGTGGGCAGAGCCTCTAGGTTCCTCTGGGCCTTGGCCAGGTGGGGCACGGCTGTCCCTCTGAGCTGACTGCCCTCTTCCTTATTTCCTGGCCTCCTGGTCAGACACGCACAGCCCTTCCAGCGTGTCCCTCTCCTGGTCTTTCCTTCCCTGATGCTGGCTTCTCACCTGTTTCCCAGGGTTCCCGTGCATCCCTTTGACTTATCCCAGCCAACCTCACCAGACCCACCTCAGGCCCACTCTGCTCTGAATTTAGGGCTGTCAGATTTAGCAAATAAGGTTACAGGGCACCCAGTTAAATTTGAATTGTGGATAAACAATGAGTTGTTGTTGTTTTAGTGTAAGCGTGCAATGATTGTGCATACCTGCTTGCTTGCTCGCTTCAGTCGTGTCTGAGTCTATGACCTCATGGACTGTAGCCCACCAGGCTCCTCTGTCCGTGGGATTCTCCAGGCAAGAATGCTGGAGTGGGTAGCCATGCCCTCCCCCAGGGGGTCTTCCCAACCCAGGGGTTGAACCCGCTTCTGTTATGTCTCCCGCTTTAGGCAGGTGGGTTCTTTACCACTTGTGACACCAGGTGGATTCTTTTACCCACCGAGCCACCTGGGAAGCCAAATGCAGTGATTGGGATACATTTATAGTAGAAAATTGCTGCTTGCTTATTCAAGATTTAACTGTCCTGTATTTTCTCTGGCAAACCTCCTGAGGTCTGCATGGTGTTGGTTTGAGGTTTACCCTGCAGCCTATTAGTCATGGGCCGCCAATCGCTTCTCGACCTTTCTGCTAAGATCCAGGGTCGTGGGCAGCCCTCGTGAACATTCAGAAAGGTGGAGCAAGGTGGTCTGCAGGGGACTTTGAAACCCGCCTTCTGTCTGGCCTCCACTCCCCATGTCATCTGCTTGTCCTCAGTGAGAACCCTCCCTTCTACCTGGCAGCTCTCCCCACACCTCACCCCACCCACACTCTGGGCCATGGGCGTGGGGGTCACATCAGTCACCCTCTGCCTGTCCAAGGTGCCTTCCATCCTTCCCCATCACCTGATGGAATTCCCCTACCCCTCTTCCTAGGACCAGCTTCTGAGGCTGGGGATTGAACCCCCAGTTTTTTCCCCCGGAGCCAAGGACACCTATCATTCCCATAGGCTTTGGAAAACATCCAATAAAGATTTGAATAAGCCAGGTTACCTTGAAGAGCCACGAGCTTTGTCCCACCTTCCCACAGCTGGGGCCTCCTTTGAGCCTTCCCTGGATGGATTGTGAGGAAGAAATCTCCTTTTTGAAGCACTCACAGTATTCCTTTGGGGAGAAGGAAGCACCTCAAGGCAGAAGTCCCCCTTCCAGGGACACCCTCGGGGTCTTTGAGGGATGATCCTGGCCACTGTGCTGCAGGCTCCAGCCGGTTGCTCCCTCAGGACAGGAAGGACAGGGGTGACAGCCAAATCTTTGGGCCATCAGATAATTTATCATCATCATTACCACCACCATCATCACCACCATCACCATCGTCTTCAACTGCATGGTTCCTTCCAGGTCAGATACGTTTTCTCATTTAATTTTCAATGACCCTGGAGGCTAAGGAGTTTTACATATGGGGAAGTGGAGGTTTAGAATGCCTTTGGCATGGTCCCAGGAGACTGAAGGTCAATCAGAAGTGAGAAGGCCCCAGCCACTGCTGTCTCTGGTGCTTCAGGGCACCTAATTCTTCCTTGTCAAGGCAGGCAGGTGGGTCCAGCTCATAAACAACCTACCAAGGCAGTGAATTTTGACTTCACCATCCCAAGACCTTCTTAGAGGCACCCCCTTTTCACCAGAATCTTGTGTTCCTGAAGGTAGTGGATCAGGTGTCCTAAGAGACCCACCAGCTCTGAGATTCTCTGCCTTCTCTCTACATCCAGGCCTACTCAGGAAAGATTTCATCCTTGGTGGCCGCATGTCTAAGTATGTTCACGATCGTGTAGTCAAGGGTTTTGCTAAAGATGGTCCATGGACCACTAGTCCCTCTAGATGCTACATACAAAAGGCTGCCATGGGATAGTGCATTAGGAGACACTGATTCTGTAATTCCTTTTCGAGTCCATTGGTGTATGATAACATATTAATGGCACTAAAATGTCCTGCAAAAAAAATAATCCATTTGACCTTGACGCAAATTTTCCCAAACTTACCCAACCATGGAAACTTTTTACTGAGTAACAACCATTAATGTTTTGTGGAACTAGCCTTCCTTACAGTCTGCTTTGAGAAGCAAAGATCTACTTCAAATCTTTTCTTATATAACTGGAAAAAAAAAAAAGAAAATTCACTTATTAATCCACTGAGCACTTGTTAGAGGTGGTTTGAGGGTCTCCCAAATGTAGAACGTGTGCTCCATTCTGACACTGCACAGAAGTATAATAATAAAGTGAAAGTGTAAAAGTGTTAGTCACTCAGTTGTGTCCGACTCTTTGGACCCCATAGACTGTAGCCCACCACGCTTCTCTGTCCATGGGGATTCTCCAGGCAAGAATACTGGAGTAGGTTGCCAAGCCTTCTCCAGGGGATCTTCCTGACCCAGGGATCAAACCCGAGTCTCCTGCATCACAGGCAGATTCTTTACCACTGAGCCACCAGGGAAGCCCTACAGTAATAAGTGTAATAATAAGAAGAATTCATGCAGTACTTATCACATGGCCAGCCTCTCCACTAACCTTTGTGATCTTCCATCTTTACCACAAGGCTATGAGATGTGGTTTTGTTCCCGTTTTAAAGATGAGGAGACTGGAGCACAGGGAGGCGCTGTGAGCAGCCGGCTCAGCCTGTAAACGAAGCTGCATCTCTCAGTGAGGTGTTTCCGGTCTTCGTCATTCTGCCCAGCACCCCTTGAAGAAGGCACAGAGCCGGGGAGGTGGGATGTGGCGGGGCCGGGGGGTGGGGTTTGAGAGCAGGGCTGTGGTGGGACCTCACCCCTGCTCAGCGCCTGCTCCCCCCACTTTTGTCCCCGCAGGTCTACCTGGCTGAAGCCGTGCTGTGGGAAGAGAGCAGCCGTGTGGCAGGTATTTTTGCTCAGTGCGAGTGTCAACAGTTTCCTGGTAGCCTGTGTAATATTGGTGGTGATTCTCCTGACTCTGGAACTTCTAATAGATATAAAGCTTCTCCAGTGTGAGTAGCAAGAGAGATACATATGCAAACACATATGATGTCAATATTCCATGTGCATCCATCAGGGGTCCCCAACCAGCAGTGAGATCTGCCCCCGGCCCAACGGCTCTCCCCACCCCATCACCCCCCGGCCCCATATCTCATGGGGGTGACCACGGGGAAAAAAGCATCTGGCAGCTTCTCTCTCGGTCACCCCAGCATCGGTTTGCCCCCCTTACTCCACCCAATGTGGCCTCTTCACTCTCCCTCCCCAGCATGCCATGATCAGCAACTGATAAGATCCAAAACGTTGGGGACCCCTGTGTGCACCTTTTTTTTTTTTTATTGTTCCCATTTGGGATTTTCCAGATTGGAATTTTCTATAGCTTCGAGTTTCCACGTGTGGAGGCGTCTCACTTTGTAGTAACCTGTAATGATAGCAGCCACAGTGATGCTAGGATTCCTTGTATTTTTAACCAGTTGTAAGTTGGCAGGGTTGTGTGTCTATAAAGTGATCATTTTGAAAGCACTTCTCCATGCATCTGATCCTAGTAGCACCCCTGGGAGACAGGCAAGACGGCTCTTACCCCTTTCTATGGATTTGGGAATGAAGCTTGGGAGAAGTTAGACTTTTCCTTGGTGAGAGGTGTTGGAGTTGGGATGTCGAGCCATCGGGCCAGTTTTCTTCCTCACCCTGGTCCTGGTGGTGTTGGTCCTGCTTTCATGGGAGCCTGACGCACGTGGTGGCTTGTCTGCCGCCTCTCTGTCCTTCCAGATGTCCCTTGGCAGCACAGCCATCAGAGCAGAGGGTCCTCTTTCTGCCCCCAGCCCCTGGTAGACCCCTGTTTGGTGTACCAGCGGGAAGGGCCAAGGGCCTTGACTCTTGGCTTTGGGTGAGTGAGTGCTCTTGGGTTCCCCAGAGGTCCCCTAGTCAGAGGCTGGTTCATTCAAATGCAAAAAAAAAAAAGAAATGAAACTGTGGGCCCTCTGAGAGATTTCCTTCCCTGCTGTTGCCAAAATCCAGGACTATCGATCTGCCACCCCCAGACCTCTTCTGTCCTCTTAGATTTGTTTTCTTCTCAGTCGCCCCCAGGTCCTTTACTGGAGTCTCTGCATTCAGGGTCCGTCAGAGCCCCTGCCAACCTGTTAGCCTTCCCTCCTCTCTGAGAGGGCGGCGGGGAGTACAGAGTTGCTTTTGTCTGATGAGCCTCATTGGCTTTGTACAGCTGGTGGCCCCTTGGTTCTAATCACCGTATCTCCCAGCAGAAAGTAACCAGCGCTGATTTTACACTCAGCCTGTCTTCAATTATATTGTGTTGTCTATTTTCCCTCCCACTCATCCCTCCGTCTGCTTTTTATGAGGTCTGACCATAACAGAGTCTTTTCTTTCCCTGTTGTGGGTTATACCCAGGGCCCTTGGCTGCTCAGGCATTGGGTAGAACTGAGAACACAGCCGACACTGGAATTTTGCTTAAAATTAAGTATCCAGGAGATTGATTTTGGTGGGAGATCCAATAGCAGCTCATAAAAGGCATCTTAAATTCCATAAAATGCACAATCAGAGATTTATTGCTCTTCTAAAGCAAACCGTAAAAAAAGGCCCAGGAATTCATTTGAGAAATAATGGGGAGAGATTTTATGTTTCCAGAATCATCTGGAGGTCCCTTCAGAATCACGCAGGCCTCAGCCTCCCAGTTCTCACTCATCTTCATGTGACCCACGGTGGGGCAGGCCTTGCCTTCTGAGGCTCGTATTGGCCTCAAGCCAGGGGCCCCAGAGTCTCCCACCTGGAACCTGGCATTGCAGCTTTCTGACCCTGGACATGCTCCAGGACTTCATTTCCACCTGCCCATCTCAGAGTCTTCAGGAGACTGTGGGTTCCTCTCTTTGGGCCAGCCTGCCCCACTGATGGCTCAGGGCATTTTTCCTGGGCCCCCAGGGGAGCTGAGCTACGTGCTGAACAGGCCTGGCCAGAGCGCAGTAGGGAAGCGTGCTCCCAGCAGCATTCCTGCGCCTTGTTTCGGCCCTGCCACACTGCCCAGGGTCACCCACTGCTACTACTCTCTCTTTCGGGCTGGCCCTCTGAGCGGCGTCCCCTTCTGCTCTGTCTCTATCAAAGCCCATTTGTCCTTGTCCTGGGCCCCAGCATCCTACAGTTAGCCTCAGGGCTCCTATGCTATGAAAGGGTCTACCAGAGGTGGTGCCTTAGTGCCAAGGACTGTCTGGTGGAAGGCGGGATGGGAGCTTTCAGTGGCTGCTGGCACTTCCTGCTCACGCTCTGGGGGCAGGAAGCTATGGCACTTTCGGGAGGCTGACATCCCCTCCCCACCCCCAGCTCTCTCTGCCAGTCCCAGCTCCAGTCTTCTCCCCAGCATACTCTGGCTAACACTGCCATCTCAGCCACTCAGAATTTTCAGAATGAGAAGTCAAAGGAAGCTTTCCTTAAATCCCACTCACAGCGCACGGTGCTTTGGGGGTCAGTTGTGGTGGGGATTTCTGAAAGCTCATCTAGACCTGACCACAGCTGCCTCTGCTGGTCCGAGAGCCCTGGATGTCTCCATCAGCCCCTTCTGGAAGGCTTCTTTCTGGGCGCAAAGCCCACAGTGGCTGGTGGGACCGAGCTGGAACTCAGAGGCCGCCTGTGGGGAGATGGAGGCAGCCTCTCAGATAGAAGGGAAAACAGCATCACGGACCCACCCACCTCCCTCCACCTCCATTGCAGACTGCCCTTAAAGCTCCCTCATGTTCTCTGGCCTGATTGCTTCCCAATCCAAGTGCTCACTCTCCGGGCTCCTGAAGGCCTGCCTCCATGCCACGAAGCCTGCTTTGCTGATGGACCTCATTCCTTACTCCTGAAATTGACCCTGCTACTGTGCTTGCAGTTTCCAGCGCATTCCAGTTTGCTGGCGTGATACACTGGATCAGCCTGGTCATCCTGTCGGTGTTCTTCTCAGAGGTAGGTTGAGATTTGGGCCCTGGGACCATCTCTTTAGGGCATCTCCTGTCCCAGGGGGACGAAGCTTTAGTCTCTTGGCCCTTGAGGCTGCAAAGAGGCAGACGCGATACGGGGAGCGAAGTTGTGTGCTGGGCCTCGGCGGGTGGCCCAGACGGTGAGCAGGTGTCGTCCAGGTAAGGATGGATGGTGACCTCTGTGAAGGTGAGGCTGAGTGGGAGGGGGTTGAGGGAGAGCAGATGGTTCGTGTGGCTGGTGAGGAGCAGGCAGAGGCCGGGCCAAAGCCCAGGGGCCTGGAGATGGGGAAACTGACTGGGACGGTGGTCCTGGGTGCACAGGGGGCCAAGGCTTAGGAGGCAGAGAGACGGAGTCACGGGCCAGGCAGTGGACTTGACCCAGGTTTTCATGGGGAATAGGGTCTGGCTAGACTGACCTGTGACCCTTCTGTGGGAGCAAAGAGGCAGGTGTCTGGAGTCAGGGAGCACAGATGCCCTTTGCCATTGCTAGAGTCAGCTGATGAAGCCCCAGCCCATATCTCTGTGTGTGAGATAAAAGGGGAAAAGCGTCTAGAAGTCCTAGGACCCTGGGTTTTGATGGGAGCTGATAGCCTTGAGTGCCTCTGAAAAGGATAGGAACCAAGATCTCGGCCCAATTCCTCCACCTTGATGGGAGGGTGAGTGGCCAGTCCTCTGAGCGGCTCCTGGCCTGTCACAGTGACCAGTGCCTGCGTTTCAGGGGCATCGACTTGGGGCTGTTCCCAGCAGGGTCTACAGGAAGGCTGAGAAGACTGGTCTTCATCCTGTGGGCGGCAGGTTTTTATAGAACTAGAGAGTTTTGTGTGGCAGCCCGGTTCTTCCTAACGGAAGATGGGCCCGAGTCAGCTGACCGCTGGCCTGCTCCCTCTTTGTGCCGTCATCCCACACTGCCGCAGGTCCGGATTACCCCAGGCAGAGTCCCACTGGGGCCTCTCAACGTGGTCAGGAGGCGTGGGGAGGAAGTCAGAAAGGAATATGGTGCAGAGACTGTTGGGGAGGCATGTAGGCTTGGGCGCACACACATATGCGCACACACATACACACACAGCTCATACCAGCTTAGAAGCAGAGGGGCCTCTGAGTCCCAGAGCACAGCAGGGCCTCAAAGGGCGGAAGGATGCTCTGGGAGAGCAGTGATGTGGGTGGAGGGATGGAAGTAGAAAGTGTTTTGTGATGTGATCAGGGAACCTGAGGAGTCAGGCACCCAGGATCCTCTCGTGTGTGGGGTTCTCGGTGGGCTGGCTCTGACACCGGCTAGTGGCATGCACTCTCCTTCTCACAGACTCAGGGGAGGCCCAGGCCCCTTAGGCCTGGAGTCCAGAATCCTCAGCCTGGGCTTGGGGTGTGCTGGCCTGGGCGGCAGGCATTCCACACCCGGAACATTCTCTTCCCGGGCCTTAGCTCCTGCAGCCCACGAAGTTGGCCAGCGAGCCTGGGCTCAGACTGAGGGGGCAGACCCAACACTGCCCCTCCTGGGAGGTGTCCCCACCAGCTCACCAAGGTCACTGCCCCAGAGATGCTTCGGCCCCCAGATCATGCCTGCTCCCCGGCCTGCTGCCCCTCGGTGGGCCCTTGTCTCCGGCCGAGGGGCCCCCTTGTCTCCGCTCACCAGTGCTCCCTCCCACACATACACGGGCCATGGCCAGATGTCTGCCTGATGCAAGCTTGGAAAATGTGCCATGTGTCTATGACTGCCAACAAAAATGTTTAATCAGTTGCTGCGGTTCTTCCATCTATCCCTCCGCTTTGGTTTTATTGGCTTTACAGAATTTATTACCCAGCGTTAATTTGGCATTCCCTCCCTGTCACTGCTAGAGACGAGCCACCTGAAACAGACAAGCCCCTGTGTAGCGGCATCGCGGCTTCAGACCCTCACCCGCCCCCCCGCCCTGTCTCCACACCATGGAAGGGGGCTGGGCTTCCCACAGGCTCAGCAGGGAGAGCTGGGGGTTGGGGGGAGAATGACTGCGACCTTGGACCTTGTCAGAGAGAGGGTGGGGCTGTAAGGTGGGAGTAACGGGGGTGGGGGTAACAGAGGGGTAACAGGAATAATAGAGGAATAACAGGAAAGTAACGGGGGGAGACCTGCCTTCCCCAGCACAGCCAGCCCCTCATGAGGGGCAGCCCAGCTCGTGAGCCTGGGTGTCCCCGGAGCTCCCAGGAGAACCTAGCATCCGAAGAGGTTAGAGCCGTCCCACCGAACAGGGGGCCCAGCCCCAGACTGTGGGCCGAGGCTGACCCCAGTGAGGCCTGTTAGGAACCAGGCTGCGCAGCAGGGGATGAGCAAAGGGTAAGGGAGTGAAGCTTCATCTGTGCTCCCATCACTCCCCATGGCTCGGGCTCGCATTACCACGTGTCCCCCACCCCCTGCCCCATCTAAGGAAAAGTTGTCCTCCACAAAACCAGTCCCTGGTGCCAAAAAGCTTGGGGACCGCTGCCATCGAGGCCCCCAACCCCTACTCCCCGGAGGGTTGGAAGTGTGTGAAGGTGTCTGTGCATCTCACGATGACAGGGGCACCTCTAGCAGGAGTCAGCTGTCCCTCCGCCGTGGAGCAGGCTTGCAGATAAGCCTGCTGAAAATGCCAGAAGCGTCCCTCTAAAACCATGCAGACAAGGACCACAGCCCAGGGTCACATAGCCCATTTCCACCAAAACAGGGCCCAAGGCTCCGGACTCTTGTCTGGCCTGTCGCCACTGCATGCCCCCTCCCTACCCACCCACCTTGGGCCTGGTGCACGCAGGCGGGGAGCAGACTAAGAATCTGAGGGAAAGGTCTGGGTCAGCAACTGAGAAAGAAAAGGCCTGACCCTGTGATATTTCTGACCACAGATCCAGCACAACCCCCCACCTAGGGAGAAGCCAACACCGCCCCTACAGGGCTGGCCCTTGTCCCTCTGGGGAGCGCCCAGGGCCATGGCCTCGGGCCAGGGATGGGTGTGGTGTCCAGGAAGGTCCCACCCAAAGGGCTCCTGAGGCCAGGCAGCCGGTCACCTAGTCCTGAGCCACGTTCCACCCCACGTCTCAGCTGAGCTTTAGGACAGTCGCCGAGTTAGGCAGGACATTTTGTGAGTTAGGAAACTGAGGCTGTGGAAGAGAGAAAACTGCCAGGCCCTCAGGAAGACGGGCGGCACGGATGCAGGCCTCCAGGCAGGTGTGCGAGCACCAGCCTGTCCTTGCCCATCTCAGAGCTCCAGGGGCTGCTCCAGGGAAGACGCCCCAGAGCAGAGTTGAGTCTGGAGAAGAGAAGTATGGGGCTGCTTTGGGCTCAGTGTAAAGGCATCTATTTTTTAAAATTAATTAATTAAATTTAATTGGAGAATAATTACTTTACAATATTGTGATGACTTTTGCCATACATCAACATGGATCAGCCACAGGTATATATGTGTCCCCCCATCCTGCACCTCCCTCCCATTTCCCTCTCCACCCTATCCCCCTGGGTTGTCCCAGAACATTGGTTTTGGGTGCCCTGCATGATGAAGCATCGTGCATTGAACTTGCACTGGTCATCTCTTTTACATATGGTAATTCAGCTTGAGGACATCTGTTCAAACAGGCCAAGCTATTCAGCAGCAAGGCAGATGCTTCTCAGTGTAGTGAGAGTAGGCACCGCACATGCAGTCAGGCCGGGCAGGGTCCCTGCAGGGGCACGAGGTGAATGTGGATGCCTGGCCAGCTTCCTGGGCCATGTCAGGCAGGGTCATCCCGCTTCCTCCGGCTTCCATGGGGCCCTGCAGCACTGAGACCAGGCAGAGCCTTCTTAATCCAGATGGACAGTTGTGCAAACTGTGTTTCCAAACTGCCCTTGGCTGAGACCAGGCCCAGTGATCACTTGCAACTGGGGAGGCCAGCTGCTTCTCTTCCTGAGACTCCATGAGGCCTGGGGGCCCAGCCAGGCTGGGTCACCCTGCAGCAGGGCCTGAGTGCAGGTCATAGGGTGTTGAACCCATTCCCTAGCCAGGGTGGAGATACAGAGAGGCCCAGCTCCTTTTCCTGGAAGAGGGGAAAGCTCGCCCATGGTTGGCCTTGTAGGTGGGAGCCTTAAGGCAGGGGCAGCAGCCTCTGCTTCTTCCTTGTGTTTATTATTATTAGGATTCTATTGAGGTGAAATTCACAAAACAGAGCCTTTTATTTTTATTGATCGATTGATTTTTGGCTATGATGGATCTTCGTTGCTGCACATAGACTTTCTCTAATTATGGCAAAAGGGGGGCTACTCTTCATTGCTGTGTGTGGGCTCCTCATTGAGGTGGCTCCTTTTGTTGCAGAGCACAGGCTCTAGAATGTGCAGGCTCAGTAGTTGTGGCACAGGGGCTTAGTTGCTTAGAGGCATATGGGATCATCCCAGACCAGGGATCGAACCTGTGTGCCCTACATTGGCAGGCGGATTCTTAACTACTGGACCACCAGGGAAGTCCCGACATAACAGCCTTTTAAAGGTTCAGTAGCATTTAGCACCCAGTGTTGTGCAACCATCGCCCCTTCCTAGTTCCAAAGCGTTTTCATCACCCACAAAGGAGATCCTGTCCCCATTGAGTGGCCACTCCCCCACTCCCCCTCTCCCCCAGCCCCTGCCAACCACACCAATCTGCTTTCTGATTCTATGAACTTAACTATTCTGGGTATTTCATAAAAGTGGAATTGTTCAATATGTGACCTTTGGGGTCTGGCTCTTTCATGCAACATGTTTTCAAGTTCATTCACACTGTAGTGTGGTTCAGTGCCTCTTCCCTTTTTATGTCTCAGTACCCCTTCCACTGTATGGATAGACCATACTTGGTGCATCCACACATCAGTTGATCAAGGTTTCTTTTAACTTTGGCTGTTACAGCAGAGAGAGCAAATCCTTCCTCCTTTTGTTTTCTTTGGCCTTTTGGCAGATTGAAAAGAATGAGACTCACTCACATTGGGGAGGCAGTCTGCTTTTACTCAGTCAACTGGTTCAAATGATAATCTCATCAGAAACAC